AACTATACTTACAAAAATAAAATCAAATAAACAAGAATGATATAGTTCATTTACAATTGCAGATTTTCAACAATTTCAAGCGTATACAGTGTTCACAATATATTTTTGAATATTTTGTCAACTTACAATTAGGACACGTGAATATTTCACTACATTTATTTTTTGCATCTACAGCTTCTCTAATCTTAATTATTTGATCAAGAAGGTACTTAGTTTCCATTGATTTTAAAATTGTATTTTCTTTAACGAATCTCGATTGATCTTCACGCCATTCTTTTAGTGACTTTTCATCGTAATCATTATATAATCTTGCTTTAAAAGTGGCTTCCTTCCAAATATGATTTACCAGATCTTCGCGAATTTTTTGTTTATTCGAAAAATATACATGATTTACAAAATAAAGATAGATTGATTTCAATAATGATAACATTACGATAGCAAGAGTAGACAAGAATATTCAAGAGTTAGTAGGTAATTATACAACATTGAGGGTTTAAATAATTCGAAAATACAAAATACTTGATTTATTATTTCTCAATTTAGCTGTCCGCCCATCACGTATCTCTATTTTGATTGGTTGCTACGGACGCAACAATTCCTTTTCCCTAGTTAAGATAAAAAAGGAAGAATGTCATCCCTATAAAAAAAGTTTGTACAATTATTGTAGGCATTGTCCAAAAAAATGTTCGGAACGGAGTCGATTTTCCGAACAGGGTTTATGTTTGTACTGTTTTCATAACGACGTTTGTACGGAATGTAAAAAATAGAAGATTTTTGATTGAAAATTATCGTATAAAAAACACATAAAAAACGCATTCTTCCAATAAACATCCTTTAAATGTTCGAAACGGAGTCGATTTTCCGAACAAAAAATCGAATAGTTTCAGAATTTTCTGAACAATTACAAGAGATTTTTTTTTATAGGCATGTTAGTGTCATTTCAAGTTTTCAACCTGTTTTAAACTGGGATTTCTACTAAACAGAACCTTTGAAGTCCTAATTCAATAACTGGTAACTGAAGAATTTTTAATATTCTGCAGATAATCGGCACTCATTTTCCTATGAATTTTCCTATGAATATTGTACTTGAATTCAAAAAAAAGAAATTTAAACAATAGTATTTATTATCATTTATTGTTTTAATTTTATTTTGAATTTAAACATACGTCTATACACTTTCCTACTTACTAAAATATTATTTTTAATTAATGATTTTTAAACATTCAACTGTAAAACAGATATATGAAAAAAGTATGACTAAATATGAATAGAAACCTAACAAGTTTTTCGAATTTGTTGATAGAATTATAACTTCCTATAACAACTAAGTTTGGAACACAAAAGTTTGAGTGTAGAACTATTTTGATCGCATAAGAT